AAGCCTCACATTAAAGACCTGTTTCCCAGGTTGCCCTTGAGCTTCTGGACTTAAGTGTTCCTCCTGCCTCAGCCTCTTGAGTAGCTGGGACTATAAGCATGTGCCATTGCACTCATTTCACGTCCAAGTTTCAACCAAATATTTACAAGGTATGCTAAAAGGAAAAGAAAAAGAAAAGATAGCTTGAAGAGATAAAGCAGTACCATACCCAGATGTGACACAAATATTGGAATTACCACACTGGGACTTGATGGTTAATGTGCAGAAGGGTGTAATAAAAAGCTAGACAACATGAATGAGCAGATGGATAATGTAAGAAGAGAAATGGAAACTCTAAGATCAAAAGAAAATGTTAGACATCAACAGTACTCTAACAGAAATGAAGAATATCTCTGAAGAGGTTATCAGGGCACTGAACACAGCAGAATGAAGAACCACTAAGCTAAAATAGATAGGTTCAAAACCCTCCCAAACTGAAAGACAAAGAGAAAGATAAATGGAAAAAACTGAGAACACCCAACTACTGAAAATCCATGAGACATTTTTAAAAAGTTGCAACATACATGTAACTAGAATACTAAAAGGAAGATTAGTGAAAAAAACAGAGAAAATATTTGAAATAATAGCCTCAAGACTTTCTAAAGTGAATGACAGCAAATCACGAGTAAATAAAAAAATCTACACCTGGGCATATCATATTCAAATTTCAGGAAACCAAAGACAAAAAAATCTTCAAAGTTTCATGTGGGGGAAAACCTTATTTGTAGAAGAACAAGGATAAGAATTGTAGATTTCTTTTTAGAGACCATAAAAGCAAAGATAAAGAAGAATAAAATATTTAAATTACTGAATAAAGCATCAACCTAGAATTATATATCCAGGGAAATTATCCTGCATAATGGAAAGAGATACAGACTTTGTAAGAAAAGCAAAAACCAAAGGTATTCATTATAAGCAGAATCGCTCTGCAAGAACTGTTAAAGGAAGGTCTTTGCTCTCCAAAGGAAAACTACATAGGTCAGAAACTTAGATCTATATTAAGACAGGAAAACTATCAGAAGGAATATAAATGAATTCTTTAAATATTTCATTCCTCTTTATCCTTGTTTTTATGGTCTCTAAAAAGAAATCCATAATTCTTATCCTTGTTCTTCTACAAATAAGGTTTTATCATATACTTGGTCATTTTTAAAAATTATTATTTTCTTTCTCTACCAGATGAGCTCTCTTCATTAAAGGCAATAGATTTTTGAGCTTTTAAAGATAATATTCCTTATAATATCAAAGTTGTTTAATTTTAAAAATATCTCAATGTTAACATATCTGTTTCAAAAACAGATATTCTAAAGTCCTCGTGTCCTGTAAATAATGAATATTAAAGGTAGAATGTATAGGTATAAAAAATCAGAAAAATAACTCACAAACATCCCATCTATTTTCTTTCTGCTCCTTTTAAATTATCACATTCTAATTTCTGGACTGGGAACTAAGAAATCTGAGCTTATTAGGGTAAAGTAAAACAGAGAGACTCACAAACTTTGTAATAGATTTGTATTACTGTTTTCAAGTCTTTTGTGCTTTTTGTTTTTGTTTTTGTTTTTCCACAATGAGACTATAGGTGATTGACTTCCAGGGAATATATTATTTCAATGATAAATTTTAAGTATGTAGGACACACAAGTGCTGAAAACTATTGAGTGATCTAAAATGTTTTGACTGTGAAAAATCTGAATATTTTCTAGTTTTGAACAGTTTTTTTAGGGACATGTGTGGCCATATCTTCTAAATTCTTAGCACTCAACCCAATTAATTTTTCCACTTGGTCCCTTAAACTGAATATTGGCTTTTCTAAGTCAAACCATTCAAAACACATATATGTGGAGAGTTGCTCAATTTTACATCCTTTTCCTCGTATTGTGCCCTTATATATTTCTATATAATGTATAATGAATAATGACAAAATTGAAGGAATATTTCTGGGCTCTTATTTGAGAATATGCACATTAAAATTTATTATTATAACTAATAATTAGCTGTAGAGAGAGAAAACATTATTTGCATATGCAGTACATAAGTATAGCTGATTTATCTGTTCTGCCTATCATTGAAATACATTTATTGATAACTAGCATTAGTAGGCATTTAGCTCAGTGGCAACGCGACTGCCTCACAAGCGCAAGGTAAATGTAAGTGAAAGATCTTGAACAGAAAACAACCTCCTTTTCTTTATGCAATTGGTTCTTCTTAAATCATCATGGTCTTACATTTCCTTAATTTTTGGGGGTGGGTGGTATTGGGGATCAAATTCAGGACCTTGAGCTTGTGAGGCAGGTGCGGTGCCACCGAGCTAAATCCCCAGCCCACACCTACTTTTAACATCCCCTTTGTTCTCTACTCATTCCTTCAAATGATCACATTACAGGTTCAGGGTTGTAGCTCAGCAGCACCTGCCTGGCAGGGACAAGGCCCTGGTTCAATTCCCAGAATTGGAAACAAAGAAAAAAAAAAAAAAGAAAGAAAGATCACATTACAATTTCTGAGCTGGGACTACAGATTATCTGAGTGTATGAGACTAATGTAAGCTAAAGGTCTGTGAAAGTCCTATAAACTGGTCAAACTTAGCTCTCAAAGGGCGAAATAGCCTTGTATTATTTCCTCCAGGCGTTTTTTCACTTGTTTTTGTTTACAGGTAGGTGGCTGAGAGAACTGGAACTCTATCATTGAAGCGAGATCTTTTTTTTTCTGACTTTTATTTATTTTTGATGCTGAGGATCAAACTCCGGACCTTGTGCTTAGGAGGCAGGAAGTGGCACCACTGAGCTAAATCCCCAGCCCTTTTTTTCTGATTTTAATACGCTACTCATTTTACCTTTACTGCCCAGTTATATAAAATAAGGAACCTATTTGAATGCTTAACAGACATGTTCTTTGAAATTGGTAAACTAACATTTAGATATTTACAAATTAAAATACTGATATAGGAAAAACTTCTTGTAGAATGCTCACATAATTTTAAATGTTTAATTGAAATTCTGGATTATCAAGATTTTAGAACCTACTTTCATCCTTTTGAAAAACTGTGTAATGGTAAGTCAACTTTTGTTCACAGTTTGTATATATACATCATGCAAGAACTAAACACATGATTCAGCTCAATCCTCACAATCTTAAAGGAAAATATTCACTATGTTACAGAGGAGAAACTAAATTTAGAAATCAAAATATTTCATGAGTTAGCTATCATGGAAAGTTCATTTTCTAAGTATTTTCAGCTCTGTACTCATGGCTTGCCTACTACTTAATTACGTTCTTGTAACATCTTTTTTGTTGATATATAATTCATATAATATACAAATCACCTTCTAGTAGTCATCTATTTACAGTATGTCCTCTTTTTTTACAGCTTTATAGAGTTTACTATTTTGCTATTTTTGCTTCAGATAGCTTTAAAGTAAAAAGAATTACAAATAAAATCATAGTCTTGTTCCATTGCCTCATGTATCCTGAAGTTTTTCACCATTGAGTTTATTGGTACTTTTAAAGCAACCAATACAGTTACATTCATCACTGGGATCTTGTACCTTTACAAGGTATGTCTTGGCTCTTATTTTTTTCCCCATAACCCCATCCTCCCTTCACCCCCTTCACCATACTGTATAACCACTCCACTGCCTCAGCCCAAGGCAATTACTAACCTGCTTTGTGTCTCTATAGTGTTGCCTCTTCTGGAAATTTCATACAAATGGAACTTAGCACCTGAGGTCCTTTGTGTTTAGCTTTTTCATGACGTATCTGCTTTCAGGTTCATCGTCTTGTGTCATCTATCAATATTTACAAAAACACTTATGTTCCATTTTGGTAGGAAGGTGTGGTCTGAGGAAAAAACACTAAAAATTTTGAAACCTACGGTCTACTTCAAGCTTTAGTAGTAATTCTACATTCACTAAAGGAGATTTGACAAAATTTCTTTTAACAGTCAATAATCTTTTTTTGTCTTTCTCAGGTGTCTGGCCCAAGAGTGGGTCCAGAAGCAAGAGAAACCATTCGGTCAATATAACTATGAAATTCTATTCGTGGCTAGGAAGTGCACTCAGCATTTAATTCATCTTAACCTTCACACTTTTTATAAACTTAATCTACTCTAAAAATTTGAGAATACTTAAAATATTTATGGGTGTGTTGCTTCTCTTTGGAGTAAAGGTATGCTTCATCGTACTAAGTGATAGGAATTAAAGAATTTTAAAATAATCTGAACATTCTAAACTGTCATAAGAAAATATTTTCACTTCTGCCAATTTTTGTCTGTCCAAAAATGGATAGCGCCTGAAATTCTGTCATCGCTCACAATTTAAAATTATTTTACTCCCCTTTATACATACGGACATTTTGGGAGGATTTGTGAAAAATGTAATTGATCGTTTTGATAAAGTTGAAATCAGAACAAAAAAATCCGATTTTCTTTGTCAATTCTCTTGAGTAAACAAAGGCTTGGTTTTTATTTTTTTCATAAAGCTGTGGGTCAAAAAGTATACTAATTCGTAAACAATTTGCTTATCTACTAGTGAAAACTGTAAACTACTTTGTGAGCGGTGAAATGACCTAAAAATACTGTAGTTTCAGAAGTTGTCCTTACAAATTCCAAATCTGGCCAGAGTTCTCTACAGGTGGGAAAACTCACAACCAAGACAGTGATCCTGCTTCGGCAGTCCCTAAATAACGGCGGCGAACATCCGCGTATAACGCTCGGCGGTCTCCTTGGTCGCAGCCCGCACTAGCAGTTCATCTGGCCAGAGAAGGAGCCTGCGCGTATCAGGGTCCTCAAACTGTTATCTGCGCATGCGCGGGAGGGGGCCCGGATGGAGGACGCGGAGAGACGCCGTTGTCATGGCAGCGCCAGGGTTTCCTTTGCCTCCGGGTCAGAGCTCAGAAATACAAGGGCAGAAGAGCTCCCTCGGCCATCTCTGTGACCCCAGCCGTCGCATCTCACACAGGCAGGAGGGGGTCTAGAGGGAGAGAAGGGAAGGATGTTGCGGAAATGTATGTGTGGGGAGAGGGTCGAGGGACGCGTGTCTGGTGTGAGGATCAGATCCAGGATCCACAGAGCCCAGTTTTGTCCTTTGCCCGCTGGGCTTCACTGTGTATCAGGGAAACCCCTCCCAGGGCAGCATAGACGGTCCAAAATTGTATCATATTCTGTCCCCTCTCAGGGTTCTCGAACGTGAGAGGTAATAATTTCATGGGGGTGTGAGGGGTGGGGCGGGGAGTCCCACTCAGAAACATTAGCGTCCAGCAGGAGGCTCTGGTAGTCATTTAGTCGATGGTACCTTGGAACACTAATACAAAGTCACATCAACCAGTGCTTCTACAATGTAGTGTATGGTCATAATTCGTGATTTTAAAAAATGAGCTCGTGGGATCACGGTCTTGGCAGGATGCATCAGGACAACTGGGCGTGATGGTTTCAGGTTAGGGATTTTTGCTTAAGTATTGTACTTTGTTTTTGCGGAAGCACTTATGTTGAGTGACATTTCACCTCAGTGTCCTTTCAGTTCTTGGTTTTTAAACATACGTTTAGAGGTACATGAGGTAAGAATGGAGCCAATAAATTAGATGAAAATATTTTTGAATATTCTGAGTATTGGATGAAAGTTATCAAAATTATGTATACATATGGACCTGGCTGTGACTCCCACTGAAAGTTGTGATGTCATTTACCCACACAGGTTGTGTCCACACTTAGGAGGAAGGAATTAATTTCAGTCGCTTACTACAGTTGCCTGTGAATAGGGTGGACCTGGTCTGAGCCACTTATCTAGATTTTTTACTGATGATAAATGTTGGGATTTGAGTGTATGAAACTCCCTCCCAGTGGAAAGAAGTGTTAAGTAATTTGGTAGAAGTGGTGCTTTGGTTCCAGCATGTTGACTGTGTACCTTATGGACAGTCTCCTGGGGATGAAGATTAAAAGACTTAAAGGAGTCTAATAGCCTGTGACGCATTTGAAAAGGCTTAAGGGACTTGGTAACAAGAGTTTATGATTTATGTTTTTTTGTTTACTTGAGAACCAGTCATGAGGGCTTTTTGAAGTTACGGAAATAGAATAACTTCCTATTTGAGGCAGCTTCATTTTACCCCTCAGAGTCACTTTAACAGTGTTTTGTCTCTTGACTTGTAACACGGGTACCACTTAATAACGCCTAATATGTTTAATTTGTAATCATTACATTTTCTATTATATTGATTCTGTGTTTTAGTTTTATACTTGGATTTTCACCTGGGTGGGATTATTTGTAAATAATGAAGCATGTTTACCAAAGTCCTTAGGAAACCATTTACTTATTAGCTTTAGAACTATATTTATTATAAACTTAAAATAAAACATTAAGGACTTTGTCCTAATAGTACTTTAACTATTTATTTTCTTTTTGTGGTACTGGGGATTGAACCCAGAGCCTTCATACTGAGCTACATTTCCAGCCCTTTTTCATTTTCTATTTTGAGACAGTCTGATGTCACCAAGTTCCTCACTGGGTTCTCACTTACCATCCTCCTGCCTCGGTCTTATGCATCTTAAAATAATAAATCTCAAGATCTTTGGTCTGAAAAGAAAATTTTTTATCCCAAGGCATTGGGAGTGTGAAAAAATAGAGTTGTTGATGTAAGTATTTTAGATTACAATGAGTTTTAGTTTGTTATATGTCCGTCATTCATGGTGTGTTTATTTTTAACTGGTAGGTTGGCAGGCATATAGCCAACGTGATTTAGCCTGCCTTGCAGCTAGGCAATGGCAAGTAAACTCACTTGGAAATATTGATTTGGCTTTACCAGGTTGCCTCAGAGTACTGTTGCTCTTGCTGGAAGAGATGGTGCACACATATAATGCCAACTGCTTAAGAGTCTGAGGCAAAAGAATCACAAGTGCAAGGCCAGCCTGGGCATCTTAGACCTTGGATCGAAAAACAAAACAAAACAAAAAATAGCTTAGTGGTAGAACACTTGCCTATCAGGCTCGGTGCGCTGGGTTCAATCACCAGCAGTGCAAAAATTAAAAAAAATAAAAAGATTATTGCCCTCATCCTCTAATTTAGAAACTAAATTAGAAGCATTAGTTTTGAGTCTTTTAAGAGACCCATTTTGTATTTTTAGTTTAAAAGAAATATCTGAGAGGAATTACAGTCCAAGTAGTGTTTTAGAAATAATGACCCAGTTGGCTAATCAATTTGAATAATTAATAATTTTTATAGAATTAATCACTTTTTATTCTTCATTTATATTTTTATTTTTCATATGTATTTTTATTTCAATTATTTACATTTTAATTTTCTTTAGCTTTGTCTTTTCTGGAAGACAAGCCCCACTGCAAAAGCATAGGTCCATTTTATAAATTCTTACAGGAACATATATGGGAATCTATAATAAGTGTTTTTAAATGTTTACCTCGTTTATAATATGTGTGTGTGTGTGTGTGTGTGTGTGTGTATGCTAACACACATGTACAGAAAGATTTTTATGCTTCATTTGTTTGAAAAGTTACCAGGGCTAGAAACTGACATCAACTTAAGGATAACATTAGCTTAGTTCTTTGTAAAATGACTGAATTTACTTACTATTTTAGCAAATATTTATTATCTTTCATCTGACATTCCTCTTTATCACTGTCTTCTTGATAATGCTAGGTGTCAAAGGATTTTTTCTTTAAGAAAAATTATTTTCTGGGTTGAACAACAATTCACTATAGTTAAGAATCAGTCATTACTTATTAAAAGTTATGAAGGGGGAAAGGAAAAGAAAAAATGTACAAAAGGGAAAAAATGGAAATAAAGTCTTTGTAAATAGGGAGGGGTGGAAGGGGTGAAAGGAGGGAGGGGTATGGGGAAAAAACAAGGACCAAGACATATCATGTAAAGGTACAAGATCCCAGTGATAAATGTGACTGTATTATTTGCTTTAAATGTGCCAATAAACTTAATGGGGGAAAAAGTTATGAGACCACGCATGATTACACTATACAAATTATGAGAAGGATTGGGAAACTGAAGATAGGAAATGGTACGCTCATATTTTATTTCAATATTGCAAATGTAAGTAAACCTTTACAAATGGAGGTACGCTCATATTTTATTTCAATATTGCAAATGTAAGTAAACCTTTACAAATGGAGTCATTTACTCTGACTGGGTGAGAGTTTTAATAACTGGCAAGGGATGTGGGAAATCCTTTTCTAAGCCTCAGATGGTCTTCTCATTTGCTTTTTTAAAGTTTCCTTGTGGAAAAGCAATTTGGGAGTTGGTGGGGGATGGCACGGTTGTTAGAAATGTCCACTTGTAGAAGTGTCTTGCCATTCCAAGGCTTTTATTTTAGGGTGTACACAAATACATGCTTATTTTGAGAGTTGCATGTTGTTTTTAATGTGTTAATCACCTTCAACATTAATCTCTGTTCTACCTGTAGCATAGATTTAATGTATAATTTATCTTTTAAAATACTACAGCAATTATTCTTTAACAAACTGAAAATGAATGAAAATAAAGAAACTGATTCAAAAGAAACTGGAGAATATGAAGATGACTTTGAAAAGGACCTCGAGTGGTTAATTAATGAAAAAGAAATTGATGCCAACATAATAGAGGTATATATGAATTGCCAGAGGCATTTATAATAATTACATTAGGAAAGTGCTTTGCAGTATTGAAAGTTTTCACATATGTTATCTCATCTAAACATAAAATTCCTTCAGTGTACATTGGACAAATATGATCTTCCTCATCTTACAGATGAGAACTGATGCATAAAGAGTTTAAATGTTGCATCTAAGGCATGGCGTTGGTATGATAACAATGATTAAATTAGCATTAAAAGCTAAGATAATCATTATACAATTATAATCTAAATAATATTAAAAATAATAAAATTATGATTTATTGATCAAAAGTTTAAAAAATTACAGCAAATTCCTACTGTCTTTGAACTTTGGTAAAATCCTTGTGCTATGTTTAGTCCTCATTACTACAGTACCTCATGACATTCTAGTTTGTGAGGGGCAGAAGTGTGTTGTCAAAGAAGTTTGGTTGCTGGGCATGGTGGCACACGCCTGTAATCCCAGCACTCAGGAGGCTGAGGCAGGAGGATTGCTGTGAATTTGAGACCAGCCTGGGCTACATAGTGAGTTCCAGGTCAGTCTCAACTATACAGTGAGACCCTGTCTCAAAAAACCAAAAAAAAAAAAGAAGAAGTTTGGTGCTGACAGTTTTAACCCTCTTGTCACCTAATAACAGTGATTCTTAGTTTGACTTTTCAATTCACTCAGCAAACATAATGAGCCCCTCCTTTATATCAGAGGCTGTATGTTCAGGGCTGGGGATAGGATAGGGATAAAAAAACAAAGTGCTTTCTTGACTCTTATAACATTTCAATGCATGATTATGACAACCACTTTCTTTGAAGCTGGAGAGCAAAAGAGATGAGTTGAAATGAGGAAGAGCACCAGGGGAAGATTTCTTCGTAAAAGATGGGTTTTAAAAAGAAAACAGAAAGCCAAAGGAGAATTAATAGATGGATACTGTAGAAATGGACCACAGAATCAAGGCTTTAAAAAAAGTCAGTGCAGAGATCTTAATTAAATTGTCTTTCTTTAGCAGTCATTTTAATGGGCCACGTTTATTTGCTGATTAGATACCTAGCGTGTTTTGCAAGCTAGGAAGTAAAAGCTGTCAGAAAAGTTGACCTGAGGGAAAATAAAGGAGGAAAGCAATTTTGAGTTGAAATGAGCAGCTCCTGTAGTAGCTGCTGTAGAACTACATTAGGAAGGAAAGAATTGAAAAAGAGAAAAAAATTACATATCACAGGGGTGAAATGTTACATAAACGAAGTTGCATGTGTATGGGAGAGATGCTAGGAAAGGATCCTTGAGGTAGCATCAACAGGTGTGGAGCAGAGTTTTGTGATGCATAGGATTTTTGGGATTAAAATTTTTTACCTGTAAGGCTAAGTTATTTGATAGTGGTTAGTATGGGTTATTGAAGCCTCTGAGGAGGGTTGAGGAAGGAAAATCTATCTGAGAGTAAAAAATTGACCTGGAATTTGGATATAGGTCTTGAGGATGTTAGCAACGGTACTAGTCTGAAATAATTCTTTTAATCATTTTTTACCTCAAGTGAGTAGGACTTGACCAAAAGACTTGTCCTCGTATTGGTGTGGGGAGGAAGATGCATTTGTGAAGAATGCAGATGTTATAAAGAGGAAACATTTTAAAACACTGTTCTGAAAATAAAAAGGGAGGAAACTTCAATAGGGAGAGAGACATTAAAATAATAGTGTGTTATTTATAGTTACTTTTGATGCACCAGCACAAAAAATTGTTTTTTAAAATACCAGTGTAGCACTTAGCAACATCAAATTCATAGGTAGAGTTACATTTTCCCTGACTGGTGTCGTATGTGTTACCCTTGGAGCACTAATAAATATAAATCAGAATATCATGAGTGCAGTATAAGCAAGAAGCACTTAAATATTTCCAACTATAAATTAAACTACATGCACAGAAAAGTTCTACTTGGGATTGTCTGTATATTAAATGAACAGTCTCAATTTTGCCAAAAAATAGAACCTTATCTTTTTTTTTTAGATGGCTTATGAGAAGGAAGAGAATATTAATCAGGAATTAAAAGAAAATGAAACAGAAATAGAACACGTGAAACACCTTGATAAGTCTTTGAAGGATGAGGTTTCACCAAGAAGAAATGACTTTATTTCTATCCCAAGTATTCAGTCTTTGGATCGCATCTCAGATTCAGATAGTGAAAACTCTTTTCAGGAATCCAAACTAGAAAGTCAGAAAGACCTGGAGGAGGAAGAGGATGAGGAAGTAAGCAGATATATTAAGGAGAAAATCGTACAAGCTAACAAGCTTCTACAGACCCAAGAACCGGTGGATGATAAAAGGGAACGAAAACTTAAGTTCAAGGACAAATTAGTTGATCTGGAAGTTCCTCCACTAGAAGACAATGATACTTACAAAAATTATTTTGAAAATGAAAATCATATGTCTGGAAAACTATCCCAGTTATGTATTTCCAGTGAGTTAGGGCAAGAAAATGTATTCCTGTCTCTCACTGAAGGAAGCTTTGAAGAAAACAAGGATATGAAGGTACTGGTAGAGAAAGATGGAAAGTTTGAACTTCTGAATTTACAAGATATTGAGAGCCAGGGGTTTTTGCCCCCCATCAGTAATGCTAATAGTACCAAAAATGATCCTCAGCAGTTGTTACTCAGATCTCCCAACTCATCTATCAATGGTGTCAAGAAAGAAGAGCCCACAGCAAAGACTCACCTTACTCAGTCATCAACAGGAGAGCCACTGGCTTATGTCCCTCAGCCACCACCCAACCCCAAGATTCGTCCACACTCTGCTGCCACCTCACATAGGAATAAAGGAAATGGGAAATCTCATCATCGGACACAGTCTGCCAATATGTCTCCCATGACCTCAACATACTATCTTTCCCTTCAACAGAAAGAACTCCAGAAACAGCTAGAAAGGAAGAGAGAAAAGCTTAAGAGAGAAGTAAGAACACAAGGGGGCACTGTAATGAAAGTAGAGCATGAGTCGGGTGTGGGGCTATGGAAACATCCATCCAGATTTCAGAAGAAAGCCTGGGAGGCGGGGCTGTGTACTCCGGAGAGGGCAGTGTGTGAAGCTGTGAGAATAAAGCTAAGAGTACAGGGGACCCCAGGAAACTGGAGAAGCCAACTGAAACTGTGAAGCAGAATAAACCTTTCTTCCTTTCAGTAGTGGGTGTCAGATATTGTGTCTCTGTGGCAAAAAAGTGACTACGACAGCTTATCTTCGAAAAACTTTTTCCCCCTAAGTAAATCAGAGTCTACTTTGGGTGGGGGGTTTGCTGGGGGGTTTGTACCTAGGGCTTTCTCACTGAGCTACATCCCCAACATGTTTTATCTTGAGGCTTTCTTATCAAGCCACTAAGTTGCCCAGTCTGGGGTACAACCTCCAGTCCTCCTGTCTCAGTCTCCCAGAGTGCTGGGATCACAAGCCTGTACCACTATGCCTGGTTTAGAGACCTATTTTCTAAAGAGAAACAGTTTTCAGGTGGAAAGTTTCAGGACAGAAAGTCTTAATGTTGTAACATATCTCTATTCTGATAGCTCATATACAGTATTACTTAATTTTTCATTACGTCTTTTTAAACTCTTTCACTAGGAAGAACAACGGAAAATAGAAGAAGAGAAACAAAAGAAAAAAGAGAATGACATGGTTTTCAAAGCATGGTTGCAAAAAAAGAGAGAAAAGTTTCTAGAAATGCGGAGAATCCAGCGAGCTAAGCAAATTGAGGACAAGAACAGCAGAGTGAGTATAACTCATCCGTGCAGAGAAGTCCATACAGTTCTTAAACTGATCTTACCCACAAACAGGAGTCTGGATATACCAAACTAAGAGCCTATGGAAGAATTAGAAAAAGGGTTCAAGAGTATCCCTGGCAGAGCTGCAAAGGCAGATGACTTTGATGATTTTACTATTAGCTTCTAGGAAGCTCTGTCAAAAGCAAATGATTCTTATTTTATTCAGGTTTTCGTAGCCCAGAAAATAGAAAGCTGCCAATTCATTTTTTTCAAGATAGCATAACTTCAATGTTCAAAATGGACAAAGATACGCATATACAAACACACATCTAACTTTTCTCATTTTATAGTAAACATACAGAGATCTTACAGGAAAGCTACAAATGATGCCAAATTAAATTTTAAACATTTGAAGCAGAGAAAATCCAAGAAAAAATAAATAGCCATCTATAGCAAAACTAGCTTTCTGTGTATGTAGAGAGTAAAAATGGAAAACTTGGCCCTCAGCTTTTCAGGCTGGTCTCTAGTGATAATCAGCTTACCGGCATGGTGCTAATCCACTCATCTTTTATCCATTTATACGCCCCAAATTTTATGTGTTTTTCTCATTTCATCATGGGCATCCTTCTAGGTTATTACATTTTAATCTCTTTTTCTTTTCGAATAGATACGTGGTACATCACTGTTGTTTTTTTCTTTTTTTAAACAATTCCCCAGTGTGGATATTTAGATAGGTTACAATATTACAACATTCAGTGCTGCAATGAAGACGCATACACTTTGCAAGAGCCCAGTAATCTGTAGGAGTTCCTTAAGAGTAGGGCTTATGATTTTTGAATGTTTAGAGCAAATTTTTAGTTAAACAAGCAAAATTTACTATACCAATTGTAGTCCCTCCAAAAATGTGCAAGAGTACATTTAATATACCCTAGGTAACACTGTGATTTGTTTCCTTATTTTTTCTTCAAATTAATAATATACATGATTATATATGAGTATGGATTTCTTATGTTTGTAAAGTAAAAAAAAAACCACTATTTTTATTGGTCTGTGCCCCTGGTTCTGGACAACTCCTAAACCCCTCTAATTTTTTAGCAATGAGATGCTAGGTATATCTGTGAAATATTTTATTTTTGACTCTCATCCGGACTCCTAATCTCTTAGAAATTCCTGAGTAGTGAGAGCGTCTTTTTCTTCAAATTAAGGTGACTCTTGGTGGAGTTAGAGTAGAAATTAGGCCATGAATGGGAGGAATCTGTCAAGCTAACAGAACATTTAAGAATGCCTTGTGACAAGAAATACTTGGTGAATATGAGAGAATCTGGAAAGTCATATCATCCTGTCACGGAAAGCACCTGGAATAAGTTAAACAGAGGAGTAGTATTTCACATATGTATTCCCACAAAGTTACTTCGACTGCTATGCTGTGCATGAATTGGGGGATGGCAGAGTGGATATGGGAGAGCAATTAGAAATCAGATATAACTGTCTGTGAGAAAGGATGATGATTAGGTTAGAGTTATAGCAGTAGAGACAGAAAGACGCACGAAATGTTTTGAAGTATTAATGGAAGGAACCTGATAATTATTTAAGTAATGTGTGTGAGGGAGAAGATGTACAAAGAATACACTGGTTTTGCTTTTGAGCTATTTGGTAGATGATAATGCCATTCCTTGGAGCAATAGAGAAGATACTGACGTGCGGGAATTATTTCAGTTTTTAAATTGTTGGCTTTGAGGTACCTGCAAAATACCCAGGTGACAGTGGTGTAGAGCTGGAGAAATGTGTCTGGTGATAGGAGAGAGGTTGAGACTGGAGATACGAACGCCAGATTAGTGATTTCAGAGAGGGAGCAGTTAGTGGGGAAGAGGATGTGGCCAGAGGAGTCGGCGAGTGCTGTAAAGAAAGTCATGGAAAGATGAGGAAGTCAGAATGTGAAGCTGGATGTTGATTGGCTCACCCTTGTTGAACAGCTCATACGCACTACATGGGACCATGACGGCATGAACACTGAACCAAGGGTGACTGGAAGTTGGTAGAGTACCGACATTAATAGAGCCCAGTGGTATAAATATTAAAGGAGGGTTGGTTTATTTAGAAGAATAGAGGGTTACAATTTGGAAAGTGGTATAAGGAAATATTACCTTCTTTACCTGATAACTGAAGTATTTCAAGTATGGCAGAAAATGTAGCTAGTGTTTGAGAAAAGAAGCTGTCCAGGGGATGAGTTAAGGTTTGCCTAAGATAGGAGGTTTGAAGGTCAGGGCGATGGAGGATGTTTGGCAAGATTTATGAGGGCGAAAGGAAACTCAGAATTTGGTAGGGGAAAAACACAGCACATTGCTGTAGTGATCATGATTAAGGGTACAAAAGACGAGGGGAATTTGTGTCTCAGTCAATGATCAAGGAAAACACAGCTGTAGCCCTATTGCTGTTAGCTTCTGGGAGGATGGTGGATGCGCCTTGTGGCCTTATAGTATTCATTCTAATATAATTTTTAATCAGGCATATGTAAAAGTGAAAAAATACTTTAGTGTGCTTTTCTGTGCTCTGTTTGTAAATAATAAATAATAACCTTAGTAGTAGACTCTGAAAACATAAGCCATATTGAATATAGTTTATTTCAAACTATTTTATGCAAGAAAGCAATGGCTATACATTTTCCTTTGTAATTTCTGGTTTTTTATTTGTTTTTATTTTTGCAACATTTCAAGTCTCAAAAGTTGATTTTAGTGAGAAATTGTATTAAACTAACAGAATGTTGAAGTGATTTTATGAGCTTCATTGCTACTTGAAGCTTTGGTAATTGATAAATTTTGCTTTCAGTATACTGTGCCAATAAGTACATTTGGTTGATTATTTCTGTGAGACACTGTATATAATATGAATTATAGTTTCCAGAAAATATCTTCTGCAGATATGCACTGTGTGCAATGACCTATTTTACATTGAGTGAAAGGTGTTAAGTGATGAAATTTTTATCACCCTTTTGGAAGAAATAGCTAAAAATGGCCGTCCCTTCTTTTTGTGGTACTAGGGATTGAACTCAGGCCTCTGTATAACTCAGAGCTTAGTATAACTAAGCTATGAGGTATGATAAAAAAGAATGTTTAAATTTTAAAAATTGTTACAGTAGAAGCCATATTGCCATGAGTCCCCCTCAAAATATTCATTTTGAACACACTTATTCTTTCTTGTAACTCTCTGAAGCAGCTCTGGAAGTCTTTTATGAATGTCTTTAGTTGCATTGCCACGACTACCTAGATGTCTTGAGTTGATTAAAAAACATTTACTTTTCATAATAATTTTTAACTTTGAGGAAGAGTCAGAAGTCACAGTGGTGTTCAGTCCAGTGGATAAGGTCGCACTGTAATATTTTTATGAGGCTGCCTTTCCATTGGATGGCACTTGGTAGCAGCATTTTCTTTATTTTTGATCGGACCCTGTACAGAGGACTTTCCGAATCGCTTCAGAAAGTGGTAAGAACGGTGGCATATATGTGTTCAAAAAAAGGAGAGTATTTTGAGGGGGACCAACGGCAATGTGTGTGTCATCACACATTTTTGAAACTTAAATATTCAATGTGTATTTTGATCACCCCTTGTGGATACCCAGTCCTTTTATTATTTTTCATTTTGAGATAGGATCTTTGCTAAGTCACTTAGTTGCCCAGGCTGCGTTCATATTTGCTGTCCTCCTGCCTCAGTCTCGTAGAATGCTGGGGTTGCAGTTGTGTTTCACCACACCTGGCTGTCTTTCCATTTTGTGGTGAAATTTGCTTCTCTTGCTCTGTGGTGTATATGTTGCATGTGTGGCATATGTACGCAAAGGCAAACATATGTGTATATGAGGTCTATCTAGGTAAGCCTTCCATGAGCACTTGCATGACTTGTGTTTTCTGCATGTGGATGTAGGGTTGTAATAATATCCACGTGATCAGGTTTGTTGATGGTGGTGTTTAGATATTCTGTATTCTTACTGTTCCCCCAATTGTTCTATGAATTCCTGAAAAGTGGAGTTACACTTCCAGCTCTCACTGCATATTCATCTGTAGCTCTTAAAGTTTTGTTTAGTTTTGCTTCCTGTACTGTATTTTAAAGAGCTATGAATATACATTTAGGATTTTGTTTTCCTTTTCACATTATGAAATGCCCTTCTTATCTTACAGTCTATTTTGTCAGATGTTAATAAAGTCACACGAACTTTTTTTTTCTCTCCTTGAGTTTATTGGTACATTTTAGGTATACAGTACAGTTACATTCATCATTGGGATCTCGTACCTTTACATGACAGGTCTTGGTTCTCATTTTTTCACCTTACCCCTGCCTGCCCTTCACCCCCTCCCTTCCCTATTTTTTTTTTTTTTTTTTGGGGGGGTTTTTTGAGACAGGGTCTCACTGTATAGTGAGACTGACCTGGAACTCACTATGTAGCCCAGGCTGGTCTCGAAGTCACAGTGATCCTCCTGCCTCAGCCTCCCAAGTGCTGGGATTACAGGCGTGCGCTACTACACCCGGCTTCCTTTCCCTATTTGCAAATACTTTATTTCCATTTTTTCATTTTCTCATATTTTTTCTTTTCCCTTATTTCCTTTCCCCTACCTTTCTCACTTCCCCTACACCTTTAGCCCTTTTCTTCCTATTTCACATTGTCAATTATGCCATTAGGATCTTATTTACAATTATAGTTTTTCACACCAGAGAAACTATTCAGTATTTACACATGTGTGACTTATTTATTTCTCTTAAAAGTATGTCTTCAATATGCATCCATTTTCCTATGACACGCCAACTTTCTTATGCTCACCACTTACGTAGTGTATCGTTTATCATATTTTCATTTTGTTCTGTGGCTTTATATTTAAAGAGTAACTCAGACTGTGTTTGGGCGATCTAGTTCTATGATCTGCTCCTTTTAGTTTGAATTCATTTGTATTTACTCCCATCTTAATATTAGCTATTTGTCACATCTCTCTCTCTCTTTTTTTTTTTTTTTTTGGTACTGGGG